CCCCAAAACCCCAAAACCCCAAAACCCCAAAACCCCAAACTATATTTTAAATATAGAATAATAATTGGGTGAGATAAATGGAGAAACTTGAGTTTTCCCAACCAAAAATACCGACTGTAGATATTGATAAGAAAATTGAGAAGTTTTATGACCAACATGATGGTGCTTCAGACCCTACTATTCTTGGACAGAGGATTCACTACCCATTTAGGTACACGTTTAAAACAGATAAGAAGGAATTATTATCATTGCTGAGGAGTAAGGATAAGCCTTTTTATCACTTATAGCTTCTAATAAGGTTTTAAAAGAGTTTGACGATGACTTGACTAAGTTGTTAAACGAAAAGCATCCTATATTCTTGACTTATGAAGAAGAACTAAAGCAAGTTGGTAGGTAGCCTCATATTCTATTTGTAATATCTTTATAGATGCCAGAATCAGAAATATGGAGTTGCTGATAGTGGTCTGTATTATCAATATATGCGAGAACTCGATTGGTACCTTCATTTTGCTAACTGATAGATGATATTATTTATGAAGAGAGCACATATGGGTTGAAGAAACATTTATTTGAAGCAATTGATGAAATTAAATAACGATATCCCTTATTTCAGTGTTAATTCTGAAGTTGAGAACTACGCTTTGAGGGAAGCAGAGATCAATATTAATGCAGTCTATTGTGTTTGATTAGCTTTAGTGAAACAATCCTGGCTTACAATGATGTCCATGGCTAATCTTAAAGACCAAGATGACAAACATACAAGAAGGGACCTTCTTTATGTGAGCTTTAAACTGGCTGCATTTTTCGATTTCTTGTACTCTGCTTTGTTGGTTCCTAAAGATTGTGTATTTTGGGATACAGAGCCTACTCCGGAAGTTGAAAAGATGCTAAGATGCTATGAATATAGAGACCCTGAAAACATTGAAGAGCATCTTGAGGCAACCAAAAAGAAACTTGAAAGCTTTGATTTAACAATTGCGGTTGCATCAAAGGGATTCAGAAGTGGTTCGATGTTTAAGCAACTATTTGATGGTGTCAGATTTTTGATAAAATATAAGAAGGATAAGGATAGAGCAAAGACTCAGTCTCAGTTCTTCATGACTGTGTTACAAGAGAAGACTATTCTAAGAATGATGAGGTTTACTGAAACTGATCTAGTGAAGACTCAAATTAGAAGAGGGCTAGATCCTATAGCTGTGGATAAATAAGATTTATATCCCATTTTCAGAAGGAGACTTGTTAACTGAAGATAATTTAGATGACGATACATGTCCTATAATGATTCAAGAAGACCTTGAAATGAAGTGCAAGTTTAGCAAGAAGAAATACGATCCTACTAAGTCTGTAAAGGTTAGAATTGTGTCTGGAGTAGACTGGATGGGAGTAAATTGGAAGAAAAAGAAATTAGTTGATCCTGATATGGAACCTATAGAAGTCAAAGCTGTAATGATTCATATTCATGGAGGGGGATTTTTAGGAGGATCATCCTCATCATCAAGATCTACAACATTTAGATGGTCTGAGAAACTGGGGATTCCTCTTTTCTCAATAGATTATCGGCTCTCTCCTGATTATAAATTCCCAGATGCTTTGAATGATTGATGGCAAGCATACCTTTGGATCTTAAAATACAGTGAAAGATATTTAAAACTCAAACCATTAAAAATCATAGTAAATGGAGACTCAGCAGGTGGAAATTTATGAATAGGTATAATCAACCTTGCAATTCAAAAGAATGTAAAAATGCCTGACTTTGGATTTATTATTTATCCTTCACTAAGAATCAGCCCGGTGCATTTGGTACCATCATTTTTGCTATCATGAGACGATCAATTATTGAATAGTACATTTCTGAAATTGGTTTTGCAGAGTTATCCGACAGATTACATGAGAGATAATGAGCATTATTTACTTTCTCCTGGGATAACTCCTGACTCTATGGTTTCAAGATACCCACCAATGAGGTTTTTGATTGCAGGCTTAGACCCACTCAGAGACGATCAAATACAGTAAGTCTAGTGCTTAATAACCTCAGGTTTATGATGAAAATGGCATCTTGTGAAATTGATGTTAAAGGTAAGAAACCCCATTAGGTGTTTTTATTTACCTTTTTAAATCTGATAATAAATAAAATTTAGCAATTGAATACAGATATCTTGTGCATGCTTTTCTTGGGCAAGCAAATGATCCAGAAGGCGTTGAAGAAGCAAAGAAAGCAGAAGAACAAGGGTTAGAATGGGTTCAGGAATTTATTGATGATTTACCAGATACTGCATAATCAGACACCATTTCAACAACTTTTTTAATCTGGGGTTTTGGGGTTTTGGGGTTTTGGGGAGAT